TCTTTGTGTTCATAATGCCAAAATATCAAGTCGGCGCATTCGTCTTTCTCTTGATTGTTACTACAGGCCTCTTGAATATTCACTTTTCCTTTTTTCTTTCATTTGTTATTTTTGTATTTGTATATAATGCGACTTTTTTTGCTTTTTTATCATTGATAGGAATTTCTCTTGTTAAGACCCTATGAATCGATTGAACCCCAGATTCATACTAGAACCACGATGATTCAATAAAACCCTAAAGTTAAGCACAAAGATTCCTTGAGTAAGAACCATTGGATCATCACTTATTAAATCAATAGGATAGGTATTATTTTATTATTATAACTAATAATACAAAAAAATTTGTCTGTTGGTTAAACAAAAAAGGCATCGAAAGTAGTTTGAACGAAAAAAGATTTCGATTTATACCTTCTTATTCTTTCTTTGAAAAGCAAATTTTTCTGAATCCGATCTCGAGGTGTGAATATTAAATATGAATCATAGTTCAAATATTGTTTGATCTATTTTAGCTATTCCGTGTTTCAGATACCAAAAAAAATATCCAACGAGGTATAACCATCTCTATCAGGATAAGATAACAAACTCATTTTCTGTATTATCAATAGGATCCATTCTAACAAGTCACACACTCATATTCCGGAAATACAGAAAGAAATTCCGCGATCGAACTACCAAAAGGGGATAAAAATCGGAGTCTTAAAAACGCACTTTGTATTGTTTGTATTGAAAGGCTAGAACTTTCCGGTTCTTTTGTCTTTCATTTTTTTGTTTTTGTGGATTTAATTCATTGAAATTCCATCCAGTAAAACGGAAGAATTATAAATTTCCAAAAATAATAGAAAGGAATACTGCAAATAAAGCCATCGCAACTCCCATCAAAGGAGTAGTTCCCCACCCAGGAGCTACTTTACCATATTCCGAATTCAAGGGTTTCAAAAGAACCCTACGGTAGTAGGTTTTGGACGAGATCTAGAACTACTCTCAACGGTTTGTGTAGCCATAAATTTGATTATATTCATTGAGATCTGTTGACTTTGTATACCGTTCCGTTGTAAATAAATGATTTTATCATAGATCCATTGTGGTCTTAAAATTATATAATAATGGAAACAACAACCCTAGTCGCCATCTTTATATCTGGTTTACTTGTAAGTTTTACCGGGTATGCCTTATATACTGCTTTTGGGCAACCCTCTCAACAACTAAGAGATCCTTTCGAGGAACACGGAGATTAGTCGAAGTAATGAGCCTTCCAATATTGGAAGGCTCATTACTTCAATTGAAATGATGAAAAATCATTTCATTTTTTAATTGAAATTTTAGGAGGTTCCCGAAAAAAAATAGAGAAAAAAATTATCCCTAGAGTAGAGACTAATAGAAATGTATAAACCAATGCTTCCATAGATTCGATTGTGGTTTACAATTATAGCTTCCATACCTATTTACTTGAGATTATTTTCCCAATAATGATAACAAAACGGTGGTAATTCAAATCAAGATTGCTCTAGTATCCTCTGTCAAATAAAAAAAAAATAGAAGCAAAAAAGCAATGTTGTATTAAACTCCTTGTCTTCTTGTAGTTGGGTCTCCAATTTTTTGGAATGCGCCAAATTCTACTTGAACATCCAAATCGGGGTCAATCCCAGCAAAAACATCTCTGAATAAGGTTCTAGACCCGTGCCAAATGTGTCCAAAGAAAAAGAGTAGGGCAAAGGAAGCATGGCCAAAAGTAAACCAACCTCTTGGACTACTGCGAAAAACACCATCTGATTTCAAAGTAGCACGGTCTAATTCGAAAATTTCACCCAATTGAGCACGCCTAACATATTTTTTCACAGTAGCAGGATCGCTATAACTGACTCCGTTTAGTTCGCCGCCGTAAAACTCAACAGTTACACCTACTTGTTCAACGCTATACTTAGATTCTGCTCTTCTAAAAGGAACATCAGCTCTAACAATTCCGTCCCCGTCTATTAAAACGACCGGAAAGGTTTCAAAAAAAGTAGGCATACGTCGTACAAAGAGTTCGCGTCCGTCTTTATCTCGAAAAACGGGGTGTCCTAACCATCCAACGGCTATTCCATCGCCGTTGTCCATTGATCCCGCTCTAAATAATCCTCCTTTCGCTGGATTATTGCCAATGTAATCATAAAAAGCCAATTTCTCGGGAATTTTCGACCAAGCTTCTGATAAACTTTGATTTTCGGCTAGCCCAACACTTATCCGTCGGTATATTTCTTGCTGAAAGTATCCCTGATCACATTGATAACGAGTGGGTCCAAATAATTCGATCGGGGTAGTTGCTGAACCATACCACATAGTTCCTGCAACAACAAAAGCCGCAAAAAAGACAGCAGCGATACTACTAGAAAGAACGGTTTTAATATTGCCCATACGTAATCCTTTGTATAGGCGTTGAGGCGGACGGACGCTAAGATGGAATAGGCCGGCTAATATCCCTAATGTGCTTGCTGCAATATGATGAGAGGCTATTCCTCCTGGAACAAAAGGGTCAAAACCTTCCACGCCCATGCGGGACTTACAGGTTGTACTTTTCCAGTTAGTCCATAAGGATCCGATACCCATATTCCGGGCCCGTACAAGCCTGTTACATGAAATGCACCAAAACCAAAACAAGCGACCCCGGAAAGAAATAAATGAATTCCAAAAATCTTAGGCAAATCCAAAGAAGGTTTTCTTGTACGTTCATCAGAAAATATTTCTAGATCCCAATACACCCAATGCCAAATTAATCTAGTAGTCTTACATTGCAATTTTGTTTAATTTTGTGAAAAAAAATCTATATCAACATTTTATAGTTATAATATACTCATTTTTTTACATGCAGAGTTAGGAATTTTAAGTTTATTCATATACAGCTTCGCGTAATTATAAGTTTAATTTTCACATTGTAAAATACCTCATAGGTTGAACAATGTGAATCCATTATCACGAGAGCTTGTTATATACATTTGGGTGTACCGTACACCCATAAATATTTTGTTTTTATTTTGACAATGGTTTATTATTTAATCATCAAATGAAGAGCAAAAACTAACCTTGAGTTAGTTAGGTGTACGGTACACTAGAGTATATATAACAAATTCTATAATATCCCAATGTAAAATTAAAAACGGCAACCCTACAATAAATACACATTGGAGATCTTATAGACTTCTAATGAAAACAATAATACATGTCAACACAAAATAAATCAAAATTCCTAAACAATGTGTATATGTTTACACGCAAAACTTGATTGTGTTCCACATCATAAAATTTCAAGCTACATACACGTACAATCACATAATCGCACAAGCATTAGGATTCTCATCACTAAAAGCAGTTGTATACTTGACCTCAGTAGGGCTCTCAAGCGCCATAACAACAACTTCGGGGTCTCTAAGCTCAGGGTTCCGCACATAACCAGGTGGGGCCTTTTTGTCATAAACTCCAGGTGCATATGGGTGGACTAAGTGTTCAACAGCATCGTATGGTACGTATGGCCAAAACTCTGCTGTTTTCCCAGTTCGATGCTTGACCCGATTCAAGACCTTATTTGGATCAACATAGCCCATAACTGTAAGTTTATGTAACTTGGGATCCACATCCACTTGGGTAACTCCTTTCATGCCTTCTACACTCTTCTTCACTTTTCTCTCACATCCTTCACAATCCATCCTTACCTTTATCTCCACAGTCTATAATATATAGTATAACCATAATCATTAAAGTCAATATAAAAAATCCAATGATTATTTATACTTAGATCATGAAAATGTATTTTTTACACATGTATCTAAATTAGATATAGGATCTTAAGATAAAAGATTAAATAAATTAAAAATCATAATGAATAACAACTTGCGAGATAAATAAAATGATGATTTACCGCGTAATTTTTACCTAATCTAACCATAAATTTGCTACTTGATTTGCGAAATGCAAAAACATGGTCCATCACTCTCTAAACTCTAATGTACCCAATACGCTAAGAACACCCCTCTTTAAACTTTCTAAGTTTTCCTATAGCAACTGTTTCGGCAAAAAATGAGCTAACCGGGCCTTGGAGGGGTGTCTGAGAACCTCGAATTGGGGCCTTGAATGGACCTGCAAAATGAACCCCGAGCCCCGGGGGTTGAACCCGGGGCGGAGCCTCCGACGCCCAAGTTAGTTGCCAAACAATGCATATTTGGAGAGGAGTTTAGGGGAGAGAGTGGAGGAGTATGGTCATCTTAGATGATAAGAGTGACCTCCTTTTACCTTATGCCCTTTGAGGGGTATTTATATGAGTACATAAGTGGGTTTATGAGCCCTAAAATTACATATGTGGGCCGTTGAAGGCCATATTGATGTATTTGACTTATTTGGGGCCTTTTATACCTTTTTTTATGCCCTTTGGGCTTATATGGGTAGAGTTACCCAAGACTAAAATGGGTATGACCATTTTAGTACCCAAACAACAACACTGTTATTAAATGTATCAATGACATCTATTGTAAGAGTAGGTGGAATTATATTTCATAAAGAATAATTACATGCTATATACATTACAAGCCTAAGGCACTAATCACGTAAGCTATACAATAAGAAAATCAATCACAAAGTCAAAGGCAATAAATACTTTACAAATATAAAAGATAGTATACTCTCAATCAAGGAAATGGAGTGATATTAGCTAGCCCGTGATTTGCAGTATTAGTTTTAGCTCCCAGGTATAGAAAGTTGACGAACCTTCTAGTTCAGCTCAATAATACTGTATTACTATAATTGACTTTGAGACTTTACGCCTTTCTTGTAATTTTGGTCATTCCTATCCAAATCCATATAGTGGTTATCCGTACAAACTCTTAAATATACGTGCTTCATACTAATTTATTGTGTACCACTTATAATATAATAGAGATATTATGGTCGTTTTATTAATTTAAAAAAAAAGGTCACTATGTTAAAATAATGGTTATTATGTTAAAATAAAAGTGAATGTGTTTTATAAAGGTCATAAGAGATAAAGTTTTACTAATGAAAATTTTAAAATACTGGTCAATATGAATAATATAAGTCATTAGATTAAAATTAGGATCATAACATCATACTTTAGGTTTGCAACAATATTAAAAATCACACAAATTTTATTAAAGATTATTATGTTAAAATTAAGGTTACTATATTTAATATTAGGGTCACTATGTTCAATACAAAACCAGTTACGCATATGTAGAACTTTAAGTCCATAATAATATTATTGTGAACCAGATTCATACAAGTTTTTCCGGGTTATACGTGCCGAAATTTATCACTGGTTCATATAGGCGGATGTACTATGCTTTTGGTATACCCGTTTCACAAAAAAAAAAAAAAAAAAAAAAAGTAAAATCCTTTAAACTTCCACTTGAAACCATAAAAATGCTTAGACAACAATTGTCGAGTCCCTGGCCAGAGCCACATGCTCAATTCTATCTTAAATACTAGTAGTATTACTTTCTCTGTTCTTTAACATTGCAACATAAAAATAAGACATGTATTTTAAGAAAAATAGAGAAAATGAAGATAGGGGATGAGAAAGAAAACATGTAAAAATAGGAAAATATTGTAATATTTGTGAAACTTTTTAAAATGAAACTTTTTGTACGATCTTTTTCTGTGTGGCTGGCCACAACGTGTGGTCGAATTTACTTATTTAGAAGCTACTTAATCGATCAAAGGTTACTTATTCTGGAGTTACTCAGTCAATTAGCACACTTTCGTCGGGGTTACATATTTAGGGGTTATTACTTAGTCGATGATTACTTATTATGGGGTTACTCGGTTGGTTAGCGTATTTTCTATATAAGAGTAACCTCTGATCGACCAAGTAACCCCTGAATAAGTAATCAAATAATCAATAACCGAGTAACCTTTAATCGATTAAGTAACCTCAAATAGGTAACATTGAATAATAATTAAAATAACCCCGACTACACGGGTGTGGCTGGACACATATAAAAAATTGTGATTGTCATAATATTTGTGAAACGAAAAAAGTATATTACTCCCTCCGTCCCAAAAAGAACGACCCATTTGGGTTGATTACACGGGTATTAAGGAAGTTAAGTAAAAAGAAGTAAAAGTATATTGGAAAGATAAATTTACATGGAGTTTGTAAAAAAATAGAGAGAGAAAGTAATAAAATAACACGGAAAATGAAATTTTTATATGGAGAAGCTAAGTTTGCACAAATATTGTTGCAAATTGGTGGTGTTTTAATGCAAATGAGTCATTTTTTTTGGGATAAAGTTTTGACCAAATGGGCTGTTTTTTCTTTATTAAGAAATTGCAAAATTTGAACCCAACGCGGAGATTCTTGTCAGTTGGCGGGTGTCGGTTGGCGGAACGAAATTACCAGAACCTCCATCTCCTCCTTCCTTTCCCTTACGCTCAAGTCTTCTTCTTTCTCTCTCCTCCCTCAACTCTTCTTCCATCATCTTCCTGCACTTTTTCATCCTTCTTTCTTCTTCCTCACTCCAATTCCCAAAACTCAATCGAATTCTCTCTCCTCAATTTCCCTCAATCACCCACCCAAAACCCTTTATCAATTCCCAATCCTTTCAACAAATTCAACAATCATGTATCAAAACATAGGTGACACCACCACCAATTCATTCTACCCCCATCAATTTCATCAACCCCCTTTTCAAAACCCTAACCCTAATCCCAATCCAATTGTTGATCCTTACGCTAATCAATGGCCTCAATCTTCCGCTTCTGCTCCTCCTCTTTCTTCTTCGTATGCCCCACCTTCCGATTACCCTAACTTCCCTCCTCCTTATGCTCCGCCAAGTTCCGATTATGTTCTAAATTCTGCCCCAACTGCTCCTCCTTCTTACCCTCCAAACCCTGATCCCCAATTTCCTCCCCTTCTTCGAATTTCCCCCATGATCATAATCAACCTCCGTATTACCCTTATGATCATAATCAAGCTGCCCCCATTTCGAATTTGAATCCGAATTCATCGTTTTCGGCTCCTCAGTACTCGTCCCCGCCGAGTTATGACGATGGTGGTGTGAAATTTGATCGTTGGGGTGGGGTTGGGGAGCAGGAGCAGGGGGGTTATAGCTCGCAGGGGTATGATGATGACGGGGTTTATAGATATGAGGGTGGGAAGGTGGAGCCTTACGGAGCACGAGGAACGGCTGGGTTTTCGGGGTCGGCTTCGCAGGTTATGTTTGATGATTATGGACGGCCTATTAATGTTTCAAATGGTAATGACAGTGGGAATAGAAGTAGGAGTGATCAGGGTGGAATGAAGGCGGCGCCAAAGGTGGTGAAGGCGGTTCCGAAGGTGGATGTTGAGGAGGATGTTAAGGGTGGAGTGCAAAAATTTCGAGTCAAGGTATTGGCCGAGGGTTATGGGCAGAATGATTTGGATGTTTTATGCCAGGTATAGTTTTAGCTTAATTGTTTTCTTCATTGCTGTTTTGGATGGTTTTTGTTCTATGTATTTGCATATATACTTTGGGTATACATGTTTTAGTATATTTTCAATGTGAATGATTTGTGTTCTTGTGAAATGAAGCATGATGATATGGTAATAATTCAGCTACTTCGTTTATGATTGGAATTAGAAACATATAGGTTTCATCCTTGTGATTTAGTTTTGGCGCAATTGAGTGATGAATATTGTTGAAAGCTTGACACTTTGGGGCCCAAAACACCCCATCGTCTAGTTTGTATGCATAGTGATCTTTGGTGGTAGCCATATTCTTTTGGATGTATAATCTTAGCTTTTGTGACAACTTGATTTACATGGTAAAACAGATTGGTTTGGATGGGATTCGAATGCTTGATCCTGCTACAGGTCGGACACTGAGAATTTATCCTTTTGAAACATTGACTAGATGGGAGGTATGATGGTTGCATTAATGTAAATTGAAGAAGGTTTTATTTTGATTTGCTTTACAATATGTTATTCAAACCTTCTGGTTCCTCTACTCTGTAGGTCTTGGATTCCTACATATTTGCATTTTGGGCCAAAATGCCTGTTGACATTGAACCAAAACGCATAAGGATTAAGTCGAGCAGCTATACCACTAATACAATTTTGGATACAGTTACAGCAGCTAGTGTGCAGGTTAGTGACATTTATGTTGTATCATATTATGATGCTCTCATAGATTTATGTAGTTCACCTGTGTTCTTGGAACTTTTGATTACGTATGATATTATTTATTAGACTATTACTGTTCTGGTTATTGTGAAGCCTCTTGCATGTTTCTACATATAGCGTTGATGCCTTTTTCCAATGGTCTATTTCCTAGCATTGTATTTTCTTCCTTCCAAGACCTTCCTGTACAGGTTTAATTTAATGTACTGGCGTACAGATTTATTATTTGGCCTGCACAGATGTTATATGGCATGTAGTTTTGTTTGTCTTTGCATTGCATCAAGTGATTTATATGGGCTATGATGTGGGGAATTATAAGATATAGTAGATGGTAATCATGATTTCTTGTTAGTTATGAAACTCTTTCAGGTGTGTACTTCCATTATTGCACAGTTTTGGTAGCCTGTTATTATGGAAAATGGTAGTATAGAATACTGAAATTGTGACGTCTTTCATATAATTTAATCTCATATTAAATGAATCTTTAATTTTTCCCAAAATGATACTTCTTTTTCTCTTTCTTCCTTTAAAATAGAGATGGGGTGAACTGTTATCGAATTAAGAATGGTTGCCTGTCAAAACCAAAAAAAAAAAAAAAAAAAAAAAGAAAGAAAGACTGGTTGCTGGCAAGTGGCAATGATATATGACCTTAAAACAGTTATACACTTTGGATATTGATTGGATTGTATGCCTTCTTGCTTTTCCTTTTGCCTGACAGCATCCATCCCTCACTCTGGCAACTTTCTACTGTAGAGGGGCTTCTGTTGTAGATATATGCAATGTTGCCTATTTTGAGGGGTGATTGATCATGTGAGTCTTGAATGACATATGTTAGCTTATTAACTCTTAAATAGACCTGAATTGTGAACCATTAATATTAGAGACACTATGGTTGTTTTATTAATAAAAAAAAGTTTATTATGTTAAAATAAAGGTTATTATGTTAAGATAAAAGTCATGTGTTATTATAAAGGTCATAAGAGGGGTTTATTTATTTATTTATTTTTTATATATACTGGTCAATAATCTCAATATAAATAATAAAGGTCACTATGTTCAACATATTGTCGTACTTCATATTCACTATAATATTAAAGGTCACACAAATTTTAATAAAGTTTACTAATCTTACTATCTAAAAATTAGGGTTACTATGTTAAAATTAGGGTCACTATATTCAAAATACTGAAAATTATGCGTGTATGGATCTCAAGTCCAAGTTTTTTCGATGTTAGCTAAATTAAGACATCATGCGTGTCCATACATTTGAATTTTATTCAACTTGGGTCTTGTGGTAATTATTGTGATGAATGTTGAATATTTTTAAAGTGACTTTTAGATGTGTATATCTCAACACTACAGTTGTCATTTCTCCAAGGAGTTAATCAGTTTTCAGTACTTATCTGTGAATATGTATGATATTTTATTTCCTAAATGGTGTGTCCCTTTATCAGTTTCCAATTTTGAGATGATGTCGTCATGTTTAACTTTTTAGATTAACCTTATCAACTATTCAGATCTGTAGACATACTCAACACCTTTTCCCCAATTCAAGTATATAGATTCGGGCCTGTATTTTACCTCTTAATTTGATGATTTTTCTAATTTTTTTTTTAAAGCTGTGTGTCACATAGTTATACAGTAGGATTGTCTTAGTTGCTCATTATTTTCTACTTATTTATGCAAACTTGTTGACACAGCTCAAGGAGATTGGTGAAAGAAAAGATTCCAGCTCATCCAAGGTCTCTGAACAGCTTGCTGAGAGGAAGAAAGGTTTTGACTGGATGAACTTGATCAAACCTGCCAATGAGGAGAAAGATTACTGGGTTAGTCATTTCTTTTTTTCCTGTAGAACTGAGTAGCGTAATGATGATATTTTTTAAGTTTTTTCTTGGTCTGTTTACAACAGTACGATTACAAAAATTTTAGATATCCATCATGCATCCCTTGAAATGCAATTTACCTTTTATTTTTCCCCTGCTTGTAAAGTAGGTTTTGCAACCAAAAGAAAGGAAAAAAAAAAGAAGGGGTGGGTTCTTGCAATTATATCAGATTAATTAGAACTTTGAATCTTTGATAGGTGTTTCACTCTTATTTGTTTAGTTAGAATCTTAACCAATTTACTTTACTGAACCATTGAAGAACAAGGAGAGTAGTTTGATTTATATAATCCTGCTGCATAATTTACTTCCTCCTCCCCTCCCCACCCCTACCTCTACCCCTACGGCCCTTCCTCTACTCCCTCTCTCTTTTGACATAATTATTTTCTGCCTTTGACACTTACCTATGAGGCCTGATTCTCTTTGTCAGCGGTCATTGTTTTAAACAACTTTTTTCAGGCTCATAGTTTATCCTTGAATTGGAATGGGAATAAGGGTGTAATAGGATAGAAAATTTGCTCTTAGTGTTCAATTTTCTCACTTTTATGTGCATGAAACTTGAGCTTACCATCCATATGCTAATCAGGAAAGCCTGTATTAGTGTTAAGTCCTAGATTTGTATTTTTAAAATGTAGTCAACCTTGTACATAATAGGTACCTGATGAAGCAGTCAACAAATGTACTTCCTGCGGCACAAACTTTAACGCCTTTGTTCGAAAGGTTTGTGTTTTCAGCATTTATGATTACGATTCAATTCAAGCGTCGACATTTTCATGATTTTAACTTGTGTTTTCATGTTTTTTTTCTTTTCGTTCTATACCTACCATAGCATCACTGCAGAAATTGTGGTGAGATTTTCTGTGACAAATGTACTCAAGGAAGAACTCCTCTTACAACAGATGACCAGGCTCCACCAGTTCGAGTTTGTGATCGTTGCATGGTATAGTCAAGTGCTCATTTTCTTTAAATGCTAGCTTTGCTGCGTAATTAAGACTTTTAATTCAGTAGTCAGTAGTGTTTGAAGTGTAGTCACCATGTTATTTATATACTCGCTGTTTCTGATAGATATCTAAGCTACCCATGTGTAACAAGTTTAGTAGTACCTTTTAAAATCCATTTTCCACTTTATTTGAAATGTGATGTATTTTGATGTTTATCATTTTTTTAAGAACTGAATCTTCTCTGTTATCTGACTGAAGTGTATTTTTATTTTCTGTATATAGACTCATGTACTTGTTACCTGATGTTTGATTTGTTACAGGCAGAAGTCACCCAAAGGCTTACCAATTCCAGGGAGGCTGCTGATAGAAGTGGCTCATTGCTAAGTCACGAGGATTTGGCTAAAAAACTTAAGGTGACTTCTATCATTCTATGTCTATATCTTACTTTTTGTGCTGTGTTTTGATAATATCACAAATTTGTGTTTGAGGCAAATATTTATGCTGTTCTCTTCAATGAATCGCTGTGACACTATCTAGCTTCTTAAAATGTTGCCCATTCTATACTTTCTGAGTACCACTTGAGTCATTTTTAGTTTTTTTTTTTTTTTTTTTTTTTTTTTTTGCTAGCTGGATTACTTTGAAGTTTCAACATAATCAACAACTAAACTGATGAGAAAATCTAGCTAGTTGTATGGTTTTTTAGTTTATTTTCTCATGTAATGGTGCCCATCTTTATCTTTGTTGGCCACTTATCTGGTGACAATAATGTTGTAACTTATAATGGACCCAAATATGGAATATACTAATTAGGGGTCTGACCCTGGGCCTATTGTGGCTGTGTCTGAATACATAAACATATACTTAGTTGTCCTAGCAGTGAAGCATAGACTCTGCAACGTGTCTGCATTGAGTGATATCTTGCTTTTGTAATTTATTACTTCATACAGTATAAAGCAGCACCTGTCTTGGCTACTAACTCTTTGATCAATAGCTTCCATAGTTATGCACCTTTTCGATAGTTCATGCTTCTCGTACCGGATGTTTATTCTATTCTAGTTCTTGTATCTCAAATTCCCAAATGTAGTAAGACTGATAGATATGATCATATGAATGGAATACTGACAGTTGCTCACGTTATTGATTTGATCAGGAGGAGATGAGCAGAAATTCGAAGTCATCAGCAGGTATTCATAGTTTCCAACTTTCCATTTTTAAATTATTTTTTAGAAGGGAGTTTTTCACTAGGAAATCTGAAGATGGTTAGATATTCCTAAATTATAACAACACTTAGATGCCTCAGCTTATACCTGGTTCATTCATTATTTTAAAATATTACTCCAAGTATTGTATATGACTAATTTGGTACATGAACAGGTTTAATGTCTGAAGGGTCTCAGTCACGGATGAGAGATGTTGCCTGTCCTACATGCACAGTCCACCTGCAGGTTTGTAATTACATTTTCTTTCAGGGCTACTGCATGTGATAATTAATCTAAGTTTACCTTCCATTAGCTTCTATTTTGGGGATCTCTGGTCGCACAAAATATTTACAAAATTAGATAACAAGGAACTGATTGGATTTGGATGCAGGTTGAAGTTCCAGCATCAGGTTCAGAGACGATAGAATGCAGTGTATGTCAACATCCCTTCCTGGTAAACACCCACTGATATACGAAAGCCATTTAGACCCCCTGTAAAAACTAATATACATGCTACGTATATTGTTTTGCAACAATATCACGAAATACACGATTGTATTGATTGAAATGAGTTTCTTGTAATAAATGTTTGGTATGGGTTGCTTGTTTTTGTCCATATACAGTATTTCTTTGTTTGAAGCTTATAGTGTTGTACCATGCAAATTTAGTGTTATTTTGTTTTTTCTTACCAATGTAATTATGTAAATATATGATAAAGTATTCTCATATGCTTTAATTATGTACATACATTTTCATAATTTTATGAGGTTGCATTTTATGTACAAAGACAATGTTACGTGATTGCATTTTGTGTACATACATTTTCATAATTTTATATGGTTGGATTACTTGGATATACTCCTTATCGATTACTAGTTCCCAGCCAAACTGCAAATGATTAATCTTTTCCTGAGTATTTCAGTTTGAGTTGCTTTTATTTATTTTTTTTTTTTTTTTTTTGAGGAAATATTTGCTATGTTTTTTATAATAGTGTACTCCTAATTTGGTCAAGTTATATTCCATTTTGTTTTATTTTCGGGTTTTGACTTATGGCCAGGCAACTAGGCAAGCCCACACTCCCTCAGTTTCCAACCACTTCGAAGGCTAGAAACTCCCCATCCTCCACACTTATTAGTTAAGATAAAAAGCTATTTCATACCCTTTTTTAAGGTCAACATGACTTAAAAGCCAACTTCAGACATCCTCCTTGTGTTGCCCAATCAAATTGGTTAAGGTAAAAGGTTAACATAAGCAAGGGTAAAGCCAGATTTAATTGAGGACGCGGTCGGCACCACAGGGGGCATAGCCCTTTTAGGCAGGCCCTAACTAAGCGACGCCATTCCTGAACATAAGTGGCTAAATTAGACAACATTGTAAGCTTTAATTCATACATATGATCAGATCGAACTAACTCTTTGTGTAAATAGTTGTGGATGCATATCTTTTCTTGGATTATTTAATATGTATAGTTTGTATTTTCAAATAACTCAAGATAAAGGTTTTTTAATACATGAGTGACGCGTCGATATGTTGTGATCAGACTGCGGATTTTCTGTAGAAGAAATTGTGAATGCAAATATTCTATTGAGATGTTTAGATGAATTATCTATTTCCCATCATCTATTTTTATATAAATTTCCAAAAAAAATTTAACTCCAACCAAAATTTATTTTTCGATAGACAAAAGTGTTTATAAACATTTTTTTAATAATATAGAATAAATAATTTCGTTCATTTACATTTGATTAAGAATCAAGTTGTAGTTCGTTTTAATTGATTTGAGTCAGCTTGTAAAAATGTTTTGCGTTTATTCATCTTTGTTGAAAGACTTGTTCTTAAGAGTGTATACTATGATCGCTTTATTGTTATTATCTATTACTCCATGTGTTTTTCTTCTTGTTCTAGTTGTCTTTAGATAACTAGATTAGTGATGAATGTACCAAAAAAGAATAAATTAAAAAAAGGAAAAACTTTGCATTTTTGTATGTACAAGGAGTTGAAGATAAGGAATCAATGAGCAAATCAATCACAAAATGTTTTATTTAAGCATCATAAATCAAGACACGATTGCACAAATTATGTAGGATAATCATCATCATTGGTTATAAAATAAACAATATTACAATATGAGTAAATATAATTTGAGAGAACGATATAAGGTGATTAGTCTTGATTGTAAAATTTACAAATTATCGTTAAATGGATAAAACATTACTCCCTCCATACTATAAATATAATAATCTTTAAGGAATAAGGGAGTATGAAGGTACTATTTAAAAAACATAAACCCAAGATTATATTTAATTTTAACACGTGTATTCGAGTAATCCAACTAGACCAACTCCCTAAGTTCACAAATTTTGCAATTCTAAAATTAGAAGCAAATTATATGGGATTTTGCCATTTTGGTTAGAAGATATATTTTTGCATTAAAATAATTAAGTAATTAGACCGTCCTTGTGAATGATGTGAGTGGTGGAAATGTTTGATTAGAATAAACCAGCTAATTAGCAGAGCTAGTTGTACTTAATTGACCAAATCAAGTACAGGTTTCTACGTGGAAAAAAAGGTCTCATCTAACCTACATATGGTATGTTTGATTTTGATAATCTCACGCAATTACAAATTTGGTTAAATGCTTAATCTACTTTAATTTATCACCAGCTAATGT